AGGGCCAGGCAGGTTTCCGAAAGAAGAGGGGGTGCGTAGACCACGTGTTCACGGTAGGGAGAATCATCCAAGGTAGAAAGAGGGCGGGAAAGCCGACGTACTGCTTCTTCCTGGACGTGAAAAAGGCATACGACACCGTATGGAGAAATGGGTTGTGGAAACAACTGTCCAAATACGGGATCAAGGGGAAAATGTGGAGAGTGCTGAAGAAGATGACAGAGTGCACGAAAAGCGCGGTCATGCTAGACGGAGAACTGTCAAAATTCTTCGACATTGAGCAGGGGGTCCCACAAGGTNCGTTAAGAAAAGTGCCGTCATGGTATGCAACGAGAACAAGGAGGAACCAGGTGAACAAAGATGGAAGCNGTCGGTATGTTGGACACCCCTGAGGGACTGCAACTGCAAATTGACGCGGCAAAGACGTTTACTGATGAGTGGAGATTGTCTGCCAACGTTCAGAAGAGTGCCGTCATGGTATGCAACGAGAACAAGGAGGAACCAGTAGAACATAGATGGAAGTGGGGGATCGAGGAGATTGCAGTAGTGGACCAGTACACATACCTTGGAGTAGAGATCGCAAAAGACTGCTCGTGGAATGCACACATGTCCAAGGTAGCGGAAAAGGGCAAAGCACGAGCAGGGAAGCTGCATCCAATACTCGCAAACCGGCACCTCGATACACGCATCAAATTGACGGTTTTGAAGAGCGTAATCGTACCGCCGCTAGAGTACGCCGGAGAAGTATGGGAAGGAAATAAGAAGGTAGTGAAAGAACTCGAGGAGGCGCAGATGAAAGCAGCGAAAATCATCCCAAGAAGCTCCAAGCGCACAAGTAATGCAGCCGTGAGGGCAGAATTGGGGATCCAATCCCTACGGTCGGGAAGAGACGCGAGGAAGCTGACCTGGCAGTATCGCATGTGCGGGATGGGAGAGGAGAGGTCGCCGAGAATTGTATAGGAGGCGAAGTGGGCAAACAAAAAGAGGGGTAGACAACCCACGGAATGGGTCAAGGTTGTAGAGGACGTATGGAAGGGGCTCGACATCGACGAAGATGAAACGCTGGAAACGGAGGGTCTACAGGGGTTCAAGGAGAAGATATCTGTTGCTTGTGCCGCGAGAGAAGAACAGAATCTAAGGAAAGAGNTACATGGACCAATGGATGCAGCAACAAAGCTTAAGGTCAAATTCAGGACCCGGGACGTAGGCCCNTTGAGGCATGGGATAGAGAGGAAAGGACGGTAGCTGTACTGGGGCATAGGTGGGTTTTTGAAAAGGCGGGAAGGGATATCGTTAGGATAGACANAAGACGACGAGTTCAAATGTGATTGCGGCTTCGACTGCGAAGACCGTGTTCATGTAGTCCCGGAATGCCCGTTGCACAAGAAGGAGAGGCAAGTGTACGTGACTGAGCTGGGAAAAATAGATGGCACATTCGGGGAGATGTTTGAGGCATGGAATAGAGAGGAAAGGACGGTAGCTGTACTGGGGCATAGGAGGTGGGTTGAAAAGGCGGGAAGGGATATCGTTAGGATAGACAGACTAGGGAAGACATTTTTGAGCCACCTTTGGCAAAGTAGAAAGGAACGATTGGCCATCGGTGATCGGTCCTGTGGGGACAATGCTCCGTCCTCTCGAGGACGCGTGGTCAATGGTCTAACCGCTAAGGCATGCAAAACATAAGAGTTCCCCCCCCCCCCTCCCCCTTCGGGCGCATGTGTGCAGGCCGGTTTCACCCTCCCCCTAGAGCGGGCGTCCTCGCGCCATGTCTGGCCAGCCGCCTCTTGCTTTCCTCGCGAGATTGAGCGCGGATTCAACAGCACCCGTACAAGCAAAACGTAGCTGTGTTTTGAGTGGATGTATCCTGCTGTAGTCGAGGGGCCAGGGGGGCTTGTTGTGGCCGGGCGCGATGCTGCGGAACAACTGCTGCGGCGGGATATTATAGCTTTATAGCAACATAGGGAGATACACCGGTCGCCCCGGTGGTCTAGTGGGTAGCCTCGCAACCTGTTAAGGGCCAGGTCATGGGTTCGAGTCCCGACAGAGTGAGTTTTTTCTCGCTTATTGAATCCTGGTCTCCGTTGGAAGCGACGCGCGGCAAAGCTCGTTGTTAGTAAACTTGATCGACTTC